TTGCTGCACTACACTTACGGGACCATTGACCTTAGCAGGTGACGCGCCTTGAATGACTAATTAATCACTCGAGTTCATGTGCACGTGCGAGGGGCGAGGGGCGAGGTGCTTGAGAGGAGGAGACGAGCGGCAGGAGAGCGGACAGGAATCAGCAGCCCCGCCCATTTATCACACCACGCCTCGCCACGCCAGGCATTGGCCTCTGGGATCCCGAGAACGCAAGGCTTGGCATTACGTACCCACGGGCGCGCTCGTGAAACCGCTCTTACTACCATGCGGGTCAATAACCTAGAGTTCCTGGGGTTATCGGGCTTTCTTCACATACCTCCTGAAACCTTTCGATAATTGTTTTTCCCAGAATATCTCAATAACCTTATTTAATATTATCCATTTTTAACCTTTATTAATTTCGTCATCTTCGGTTTGTGACGGTTGTGAGAGGGAATGACTGGTACACTCTCCGACACGGCGCGGCATGTCAGTCCGAATTGTGGGAGATGGTTGGGAATCGAAGATTGCACGAGGCTAATGAGTCGTTGTTTAGCCTAGAAATTAATAATAAAGCGACGTAAACAATTACTTGGGGGGTCGATGTGAGAATTAGAACAAACCTACTGATATTCAACTCATCAATCACTCGCCCGGGATCCAATGCGCGATCTTCAACAGCACTCTCGATCAAGCTCTTAACGGTCGCAGCCATCGACGCTCGTAGATGTCGATTGTTTTCATGCATTAATTGACATACTATAAAATTGTTTTATGTGTCGTTTCAATTAATAAAGTTTTTGTGCAACGTGCAGCACTATATTTTCTACCCAAAGACGACGGCGATGGTGTAACGGTTAGCGTATGGGACTGGTATACCATGTTGGCGGGTTCAAACCAAATCGAAGCCATGAATTTCTAAGGGCGAAAAAAAATCCTTCGTACGCCTTCCTTCGGAGGGGAAGTAAAGCCGGCTGTCCCATGTTAGTAGATTTACTTGCATGTAAAAGATCCTCAAGCCTAAATGACGCCTCTGAGCTAAATTCAATATCGCCAAGAAATACCTCCTTCCTCTGGTAGTTGGTGAAAGGATCGTAGCGAAATTTGCGTTGTCAGCGGGCGAGGCAACGGAAGAGCGGACCTGATAGCCCGAATCTCGCCACGTGAAATAAGGCTTCAATTCAATTCTAACCCACTTTTGAATTCTCGTCCTTCATCATACTACTACTTGAATTCTCGTCCTTCAACATTTAAAAATTGAGTTTTATCAAAAACGATATCCCTTCGGAATTGTCGGAGTCAATTGGTGACTTGTAACATGTGCAATACAAATTATATGATCACAACCAATGGGATCTGTTCCCCAAATACGGAGGAAGAGGGTGCTGATATTCTCCGATTTCCAAAATTGAAGCCCCCGATTGGATAACCGCGACCCGAAGTCAGTTCGGGCAACGGCAGTTCGCTTCCTGTCAGATGTACTTAAATATTAATCAGAGAATAACTATATTTCCAAGATGCAAAGTTGGGCAGCTCATGCCGATCGTCGAACAAAGGCGAATCAAGAGGATAAATTGAACGGTTTAAGTGACATTTTATGAATTCTGAGAAATAGCTGTTTATTTTAGTGAAACTGTATTTACGTGGTTTTAATGAACAATTGCAATGCCGTGATTTTAATGATGAAACAAAGCACCATAACGTTACCGTGATGTTGACTTATACAGATTTCTCAGAATTATAAAATGCCACGTATACCGTTCTGGTTTTCACCCATTCAATATTGTATTAGCAGTACACTCTGAAGTAATAGATCAGCATCCCTTCCATTTATTGAAATCTTAGTTTGTTTTGATATATTTTACTTACAATACAATATAAACTTTATGTGATAAGCGAGAGACACGTCTTCGAAAGCCAACGCATTTTAGTCTTCAAACGATGCAGGTGACAGAGTTCGCTCTATATTGTTTTATGATACGCCGTGAAAAATTCACTAATATTTCACCTGATCTCCTTAGAATTTGACCTTTAAGAATAAAACTTGAGTTTTATTATTTTAAAGCCTTCAATAGTTATTTATTTGTCCAGTGATAATCCTTTATTAAACATATTCATTCTGTAGTAATTGTCTAAAATCATTTTAATTATGTTCATTTGAATCTGTTATTTCGAAAAGACCATATCTCCAATCTTTGCAAAGCAAAAACTTATCAGTACATGCAATAAGCTAGCATTTAGCTCTGTAAGATGTAAAATGTCTGATGTTCATTTGTTCGTTATTGTAATCTAAACAGGTGTGGTTCAGTAATTCGAGAAGACCACTTCTCCGGGCGTGTAGCATTTTATGACATGTGCGAGTCAAAGTTGGAAGTGTCCTTTTCAAAATTACCTACTGAATTATAATTTTTTCTTACAAGCTTTTTAGAAAAGTATTGAATAATATTTTCCGTATTATTAATTCTATGTCTGAGATAAAATAATATTGAATACTTATGCATGAATATTATTTTTAACATTTCTGTGTCTTGCGTGCTTCTATGTTTTGGGTTTCTTCTCATTATAACACAAGGCAGACTCATTTCTCTGACACAGCAAGTTTAAGTCATTGCCCCATTCATTTTCTTCCTCCTTTCACGCCTAGATGTACTGCCCCACGCGAAGTTCTAACATAACTGCTGGCAACTGCGAATGCATCTCTTAAAGGAGAGTTGATTAATTACTTTAGAGACGAGCTTTGTAAAAAATCACTCATTCATGACGAAATACGGTACTATTTATAAAAAAAAATAATGCTCATTTTCAGAAAGTGTGAACCAGTTTGTTAACGATGTTAAATGTGTAATTTATTTAATTAGTTTGTTACGTGGGTGCTTAATGACAATGCTGAAAATTTGTACATAAACATGCATACATACAGTAATATATGTACGTGTGCCATTGTAAACAAATACAGGGCCTGTAAATACCTACAAAAATCAGTGGCCCTTTGCAAAACAACTAGCTCTATTCCTTACACCTAAACAATGAGTGCCGATCTCATTACCTAGAGTTGAAAACGAAAGACGCTTACGCCTTTATGACTTCCCCTTTCCCAGAGTAAAAATGATAGATTGATTAATGATACTGTGCGCGTCAACTGCTAAGGTCATTAGTCCCGCAAGTGTATTGCATGTGTTTTTCGCGAGAGGTGGAGATGATCTCTCCCCGTTGGATGGTAAGATACGGCGCCGACCTACACTCAGCAAGCGGGTTTTCCCTATCCATGTATATCTCACCAGCGGGGCACCGCCTCAGCCGGGACAAACATTAACCTTCCAACCGGTCTCCCGGTATGTGTGGTGGTGTAGTGCATGTAAGGGTGAGTGTATATAAGGGGTGAGGGCAGGGCAAGGAAGTGGAAGGAAAGATTGCGCGCGGTCCATGGCCCATTTGTTAGGGAAATGCTCCGGCATTCGCCTGGAATTGATCGGAGAAACCGCGGAAAACTACCGATCAGAGCAGCCGACCCTTAAAATTCTCCTCTAGACAGCGACAGAATTCGACCTAGCTATCTTGCTAGTGCCGAAAATGCTGCCACTATCAGAACTCGGACCTAGGACCTCCCAGCCAGAGGAACTGCAGTGACATCAGCTGATACCCTGAGCTACCTTTCCCGGTAGTAAGGATGATGAGGCAGGCCATTCTCGGGGTTGAATGGCGATGGAGAATAGGGATAATGGTGAAGAGGGGAAGTGAAAAGTTCATACCTTACGCGGATGTCGGATCTGAAGCCTTTGGATCCGCTTACTCGTATTCTGTTTCAGTCCCCTGCACAACTGCGGCCGCCTCAATTACTTTTCGTAACTCTGAACTGTTGTAATATCGACTTAACGCAAACAAACTGAGGAACGAAAAGCCACTCTTAATCCAGCGTCCGTTAAGGTTTTAAATCCACCTCCCGCCAAGAATAATCGAAACAAATGAGAAATAAAAGACGGGGTATGAATACACTTATACCAAGAAATGGAATTTCTTGTTTGTAAGTTTTTGTTTCATTTAAGGTGAACTCACGAAACGTATTGAAAGACCTGGAGCGGATAACAGAAGGGACAAACTCGTTTGATATACACTATTTCCCGGCCTAACGGGGTTATTAACTATTAGGTATATCTTATGTATTTCTCAAGTTATTGACTGTTGCACGGAAAGTCCACATTTTTTCTGTAAGCAATCAAGAGTGTTGAGCTTATATACACTAGCAGCTGTACCATCTGAGATGCTCATTCACGAGTGCGTTAGACGTGCTTGTCGATCCGTCGTAAAGGCCGCCTGCCAACTGATCGAGGTTCCTGCGATACTCCAAATGCCGACGGCGTGGCGCTCCCGCGCCCGCTGTCTTTTCCTCATCGTCGAGCGGCGCGCGGCGGAGAGGGGCGTGGTCGCTTCCGATAGGGTTTCACTGCCTTCGGAGAGCGCGTCTCGGCGGACGGTGTCGCCCCCCCCCCCCCCCAACGCGTCCTTCGACGGGAAGGGAGAGTAGGCTCTCCACCTCACCCTCCCCGCCTCCCACGCTCGCCCACCCACACCGCCTGCCCCAAACCTGTTGCTCCCTAGCCCGACCCTGTCAGACTCGCCGCTCCCAACTCCACCCCTTCCCTGTTTTTCCCGCCCCGCTCCGCCGTCGCTTCCCAGCCCCGGCTCCCATCCCGCCGCCGCCTTCGTAGGTACAATGGGGTGCTGGGGCCGATTGGTCAGCGGGCCATGAGGGACGCCCATTTTAGTGGCGTGCGCCCCTACGCCGCCGCCGGTGCCGCCTGCCTCTATTTTACAGGCGCCGATAATTCTAGGCCCGAGCAGCGGCGCGGCGCGGGGTGGGAGTGGGCGGGGGAGGCGGACGAAAGGACGTGGAAGGGGCGGCAGCGGAGGGGAGTCCCTCTCCGCCCCCCGCGAGCGTCTTGGTGGCCGCGCGCGAGCCGAGCTCTGCCGCCAGAGCCGCTGCAGACTTTGCGGACTCCACATTCCAGCAGGACCGCCTCTCCGGCCACTTCGGTTCGCCAGTGTGAGTGTTCAGGCAGCGTCGGCGAGCGCGCCCGACAGCCCTTCCCTTCTTCAGCCACCTTTCTTCTTGGCTTCTCCCCTCGAGTGCTGTCCGCGGCGTGTCGCTGCGGACCGCCCTTGCGAGCACGCAGACGTGCCTCCGTGCGGATAAGTGCTGTGCTTTCCATTTGGTGCGAGCCGTTTGCTACGTTTCTTGCGACACCTGCGGGTAAATCTCTTCGCAGTGCATAAGTGAGAGGTTGCCGGAAGCTTACCTGCGTGTACACTTCTATGTAGTGCAGCTTACCTGCGTGTATACGACGCCGTCCTTTATGATGTTAGTTTGCGATTGTGAAATAGAAGTAGTAGTAGTAGTAGTAGTAGTTGACAGTTCAGAGTGTCCAGTGTTTGAAGAAAAAGCAACTATTTCAATTGGTTGGCATTTTGTGGTGTAAAAATAATGGCATTATTCTTAATGCTACTAGTATTGAATATGCATTCAGGACTAGCACACCGTACTGATAGATTTTCAATGCAAAGTGAATGACGAGTACGGTTGATTATTGAAAGTGAAGTGCTTACATACTATGGGGTGCAATTTCTTAAAAAGAAAAAGAGCAAAAATACATCTGAATATTACTGAATACTTGATACCTTCGTATTCGTGCTACTTCGATTTTCGCGATGAAAGGAATTCTTAATTATGCAGAACGAATGAATAACATAATAAATAAAAATCAGTAGTGATAAAATTTTCCATTAATTTGCGTGAACTGTGAAAATTTGTTGATGATTCACAAAAAGTGAACTGACCAATATCGTTTCGTACTACGTCAAATTGTTAACACGGTTTACAAATACACTTAGTTACGAGATAAAGTCGCCTTGATACTAAATGTGATATATAAACAAACTCTTAGGCAATAGAGAAGTGACACTTTTTTATAAAATTATGACGCAATTCTATCAAAAGTTGTAATCAATTTCCTTAAAATGTTAATTTGATTAATAGCTTAAAGATCATATGTTGCTCAAATGTATGCAATTTAATGCAATTGAAAGAAATAACATTTATAACTCCATTGCGTATATTAACATGTTAAAATTTGTACGGTAAGGAAATGTTGCATAATCAGTTATGTCCAACTTAATCCTTTTTATAGGGAGAAAATCTTTTAAAGTAACCACTCTTTGTGGAAGTCGTATACTACCAAATAAAAAAACCGAGGATGACTGTGCTTTTTAGCCCAGAACTGCTATATGCATATCGTGGTCAAATAAAGTGCTCGAATGAATTACATCCGACAAATTCCGTGAGCTCATACTGGTCGCGCACTTTTTATTGATATTTAGTTCGGTATGAATGTCCCCGATTGTGATCCAGAGTATCAGAAAAAAGTGCGCGACTACATGGGCCCATATATACAGAAAGTCAAACGGCCATCGGAGCCATTTTGAAAGTTTGTTACGTAAACCAAGTTGGAAAAAAATATTTTTTATGACTGAAGTTTTGGGAAATAAATCGGAAATAAAATTATGTGAGTTTGTATTTCCGTAAAAAAAAATACTCAAATATTACCTTACGTTAGAAATGTTGAAAACTCGTAACGAAACAATATTCTGCAATAATGATAGCATTTTGCGTACTATACAAATATGTGTGTGTTATACTTGCTCGTAAATGTTCATTTCAGAATTTAGAGAATAAAATGTGCTTGAGCCTAAGAGTGGCAAAGGAGTTGCCTTAGTTGCCTTGAGGAGGATCATGTTTCCAAGGGATTAAATCTAGAGACGGCCCGCAGCTCGGACAGTCCTAAAATAGGCACGCAGCGCTTCCTGGGAGTAGTTGGTTCGGGATCTAATTATAGGACGAGGCGGCACCTTAACGTCACTCCCAACAATGTACTGAAAAATATAACGCCCATTATTTTATTTTCCACTATTAACTTCAACGATTCATTAATGATCAGAGTTTTGACACCATTAGCCAACTCAAGATGCTTGGGATGTGCAATGGGTACTTATCGACATTTTAAAAATTTAATTCTGTTGCTAAGAGTCTGCAATTTCTATTCATTTCCTTCTCTCTTTTTTTTTTTTTTTTTGATTCCCTTGGCTATTAATGGAATAATCAATGTCAGTTCAAAAATTACTTATGAAAATTTGTGGAAAATGAAAATTAATCTTATTCTTAAAAGCTGGAGAGAGGGTAACACTTAGAACCATTTTGTATTATTTACTATATTCTTAATAGAAATGGAAGTAAAACATAACAAAAATTGTTAAACAATATGTTTGTTTATGGTATCTAATTTATATTTTTGCTGCAATTTATATTCAACTATGTCTCAAACTTGTATACTTTATATAACTATTTTATACATCAATCTTTTAATGTAATTATTTCTAAAATATTGTTTCAAATGCAGTACTTTTATCAGAAGGTTTGTTTATAAAATGTAAAGAAAGAATGTTCTGCGATTACAATTTTAGTTAATCATCAGTTACCAAATATTGTGGGTTAATTCTTAGTTCAAACGTGATCAGTTACAGAAAAAGGAAAAAGGCCTGTGTTTTTCATATTTTCATATATTTTTATAAGATTTTTTTTTTTGGTACACGGAATTTTGAACTGTCCATTTGCAAAGGAATTTTGTTTTTCTTGTATTAATAAGAAGGACTTATAACATTTATTTAAATTATTGAACCTAAAACTTGAATTTCACAATATTTCAATTTCATTTTAGATGTAAAGAAAATATAAGTATCTTATGCAATGACCTTCATTTGGGCAATATTATAAGTAAACATTTCGCAAATGAGTTTGTTCACAATTTGCATTTCAAATTCTTCTCAAACCTAATTGATTTAGGATTTGTGTGAGAGTATTTTTCAATTAAAATCAATTGTGTGTTAAATATTACATTACTCTAAATTTAAGTTTTAACATTTGTATTTCACTTTTAATCTTTCATTTTTATATATTAATGCACTGAGAAATGTAATGATTTGATGTATTTTTGTAATGAGAAATATTAATATTACTTTGTTTTATTTTTAAAGTTTTTTTTTTTTCTTTTTTGATAATGCTATTAATTATTTGTCTTTTTCAGCCCTTAAGCTCTCTCAATCATGTCTGATGACGAGGATGTCTACTCGTAAGTACATCTCTGCTTGATAATATGTTTCATGTTTTTTAAATTGTTTGCAACATAATTAATCATTGCTTTTTTTCTTGTTTTCCAGGGAAGAGGAGGAGGAGGTTGAGGTGTAAGTATTTTTTTCATTTTTAGAAACTTTTTTAATTATATTGTCTAATAATCTTAAAGAAAATCCAACAGAATACAATTTTCATCTACTTTAGTCATTCAGTTATATTAACTTTGATACAAGTAAATGATTTTCAATGATTTAACAATTATCCTGATGAAGAATAGGGATATTCGCAAGTCGTAGAATTGCGGAATCTCTACGCTATTACTAACCGATATAATAGTGAATTGCATGTTTATCTCACCGCATCTTACTGGTGATACATCGGCAACACACGAAAATTGCCAAATTGTATGCAACTCGCATCGTATTAAGCATATAGCCCAAGACACTGCTAGTACGTTATTGCGTAATTCTTTCCTTCATTACACAGTCAGGGATTTCTAGTTTTGTGCGAGAGTAGTCGGTTTTGTGGGAGCATAGGTGGGTGAAGGGAAATTGAAAGGACAGGGAAAATCTATATAAATGATGGAAAATCGAAAATTCGGGCCACATAAAAGATTGTATGATTAGTGTATTAATGTTATTTTAAGGAATAAGCTTTGTGACTTTACTCTTGCTGTAGGCTAATCAAGAATATTGAAAAATGTTGGTGTATTAAGTCTCCTCATACTTGTTGTATAATACAGTAAATTTTGTACATATATAATTTTCTATGAAATATAATTCAAAACCTACTACAAATATTTTTGTTTTCTTTTGTTACAGGAAGTAAGTATAACAGCTGAATTACCCTAAATTCTTGCTGGTAACAGCTTAGTAGAGCCAACTGACAAAAAAAGGCCGAGAATGCCTTTGAAATGTTTTCTACTGGACCACATGCTAAAGAAAAAGTTGAACTATTGGTATAATTAATGGGAAATGTATGATCTCTTTGCAAAGATATAAGTTTCATCTTTGCAAATCCACAAACTTTCAATTTTTTCTTCAATTCTTCTTTAGAATTCCTAGTGATATCTGTTTCATGATAATTTTATGTCATGAGTACTTGACCTTACAAGCAGTAAGTTTAAATTCCATCATTTATCAAGTGAGTACTTTTCCTTTTTTAATTTTTTGTGCAAAGAGTATTATGCACACATGTTACTTTATCCAGGATTACATCTCTACTTCTCAGTGTTTGAGTGATTGTGTGTGGACTTAGGGCAGACTTCAAAGTTTAGCATGTGAGAACAAATGAAAATGCATTTTTAAGAAATTTATATAAGAGCAAGGAATAAAGTACAGAGAATAAAATAAGCTTTTAATTACTCAAACATTTTGTAGACTGTACCTACTTTTTGCTTGAGTCACTTGGCTGTTACAATCTAGCCATCACTCCTTTATGATTTGTTTCATAAGTTTTGTTTTCCTTTTTTCTCCTTCCTATGCTGCCAACTATAACACAGAAAGCAACCGGAAACGAAGAAAGAGTAAGTGAAATAAACTTCTTCATTTTTCTGCCAGCAGTCACTAAGGCCAGACCCCAAGCAAACATGCTGCTGAATTCTTTGTCACAAAGAAATATCACACTTCACTGTTCATCTACAGTTCCATGTGTACATCTAATTGACAATCAAATTCTCATCTTAAAGTCTGTGTTGTTTCATGGGCATAATTTGGGGGCCTTACTACATGCATTTCTGTGATTTCAACCATTGAGTAATTCCTTCCTTCCCTCAGTTATCAGTTTTGTCCTAATTATTATTATTATGAAAAACTGACACTACAATTACACTGAATTTTCAATATAAAATCACATTCAAATTTAGTTTGAATTTTTATAAAATATACATTCAATTTTTTTCTATTTGTCTTGCATTCTTCCAAGCAAGATCCATATTTCTTTGTGATAAAAAAAAATGTAATTAATTTTGCTTTTCATGTTTATATTGCTTTTGGGAAGGAGCCTGACAATGTGGCAACATTTTGTTGTTTATTGCTGTAAACTTTCTAATATCTTTATGTTGGCACTCTGCAGCAATAGTATTTTTTTTTTTAATTTCCACCACCCAGTTTTTGTACTTCGCTTTAATGCCGTAATTTGATTTTCTGTAATTTTAAATAGTGTTGTATTTGTTCATTTTGCTTTTCAAATAGATATGGTATCTGATTTGCTAATACTAATGCGGGAGAAATACATTATGCATTTTTCACATTTTTAACACATTTAATTTTTTGTGTTTTGATCAATGATGCTCTAACTGGCCGAGGGTCATTTATGTAATTTCATTTTTGCTGCATTGCGCAGTTGACTGCTGGTCAGATAGCGTGTGCGGGAGCCAGGTAGCTTTGCGAGGGTATTTTGTTATCTTTGTTTCTGTGTTGTTTGTCTTACTATTTCTTGTTCTTCTCTCCTATGTCATTTTTATCTTTCTTTTACCTGAAGCCTTTTTTTTAATGATGTCTCCAAGTCTATTCCAACATGAGCACCTTTTTGCAGCCAGATTTCATACTATTGTTCAGTATGCAGTCAACCCATCATGAAGTGAAATATTTTCATATTTTGTAATTTTGTTGTTTATGTCTTATGCAAGAAATACACAATTACAAGCAAAGTAGATTAAACAAAAGTACAGAAAACTGAGTTACTTTTTGAATGCATTAAATTAATGTAGACCCATTATTACATTTCATCAGTCAGTAACCCCTTTGTATTTCAAAACTTATTGCCTTTCATAGAATTTTTAGAATTATTGTACCAATATTGATACACTTTTCTTTATCATCCTTTCTCAAATATGTTATTCAATATGTATATACATTTTTTCATTTGAGAAGGGAATGATGTAGAAAAATACAAAGTAAAAAATTTTCTTTCAGTAATTGGGCGAGAAGGTGAGCTATAACTAGTGTAAGTTGAGAAAACAGGATGCAACATTTTATTTGTGATTATCAAAAAGGAGAAAGTTTTTTTTTTTTGTTTTTTTTTTCACATTTCAGCTAATTTTTTAATGTGAAAATTTTTCCCTAATGTTGCATTGTGTTAGTGGGAAACTAATTTATTTTTATTTCAAGCAGGAATCAAGTTGGATCTTCTATTAAATGTTGGACTGTTTGTTTGTGTATATATATTATATACATTTCTTTTGGCAGGACATGTAAATGACAATTCACATTCTGTCTTAACTGAATCCACACCATTCACTCTAATGCTAAACATAACCAAAATTAGACCAAACATTTTTTAAACAAGAAGACAAATATTTGAATTGAATGTCAGAAGTCCAAATGAAGATTGTGTTTCATTATTTGCACTACATACATTGCCAACATTCAAAGCCCAAGCTTTATTGCTAAGCTTCCAGCTTGTTGTTGCTTCTAACACAGATTGAAGCAAACAAGCCATGAGCAATTTGCGCTTATATTAAACTGTTCCTAGTAATATATGTACTTGAACTATGTTCACTCTTCAATTTTCCAAAGCATGCAATTATAGCATGTAAACTGCAAAGTAGTATTGGATATTCCCATAGTTTATATCCAAATTATCCACTTGTAGATCAGTAGTATTATATTCCCAACCCAAGTATTTAGCATACATTTCAAAGTAGTAGAGTAGAACCTCAGGACAAATGTGAAAGAGATATAAAATTTATGACCATCTCTTGTGAGATCCTAGTTTGGTAAGACATAAAGCCCGAATTGCCACAATAGAAATTTGATCCTTAATTTCCAAGTCTTAAATGACTCTTATTTTCCTTTGTATGTGTAGACAGTATTGCAGAACTTTGGAAACAGCAAACACTATTGTAAATTCTAACTTTCTTATCTGTATTTAATTAACAGAGTTGTATGACCTGTTTATTTCTTTTTTTTTATAGGCCCAGAAAGAGCATTGTGTAAGTTAAGCCAGCAGCAATCTGTGTCACAAATGTTGGCATGTCTGTGTATTGAAATAGCGCTTCACATTAGGCCCTGAAGGTCACATTAGTCCATATACAAAAAATGAAATTGTAATATAACTTAGTATTATTTTACAGCAGTCTGAAATATATCATTTATTCATACATTTTCTCTTTATCACAATATTTTTTTAAATTTTACATATTCTTAAAAGAAGTACTTACTTCAAAAGAGATCATATAATGAAAGGAAAAAAATAATTTTTCAATGGAAGATGTGTTTCTGGGATTTCTTTGTTGGTTTTTAGGGCAGATTGAATCATGGTCTAAATTGAAGCAATATTTCATTATTTCTTTGTCTGCCTTATCCTGCATTTCAGATCACATTCAGGACTTGTAGCACATTGACTTGTAGTATGCCTCTTATAATAATTACATTCTGACTTAAATTTTGCGCTCAAAGGGAAAGTTAAAACCCACACAAGCAATTAATTTTCAAGAAAAAAATTATTTTCACTTTTATAATTAATTGGTTTAGAATGTTTGTCAAATGGAGAACAATAAGTGAAACTTTCACATGAATTTGTATTTGTTATGATAATTTATTTCATCTGTTTTACAACAGAGTGCCAGTCAGAATGCTACAAGTTAGTTGTGCTGGATCTGCAATGTGGATTTTGATTGCTCATGCCCCATTGTACCATCCCTGGGATGCTTGCAGTTGAGCATGAAGCCCCTGCAAGAGTGAAAAAACTCAAGCAGCCATGACTTCTAATTATCTACCAATGAGAGATTACATCTTTTAAACTCACTCACATGGCCATATCAACAATGTTCAAATATCATTTTCAAACACTTTCAAAAACAATAATTAGCCATAGACATTAAACGTAAAGAAAAGTACTGAACATTGACAAAAAAGGGTTGTTAAGTAAAGTCCACATGTACATAAATTGAAAAAGATTGTTAAAGTAATATTGGTTGCTTGATTATGTAATTTATAGTTATAAGCTGTACAATATTTGCTTTATCACTGATATCAGGAAGTGCTATCATTAAGTTGCATCGTGTGTTATTTACTTGTAAAATATTGTGTCCTTTGTCCAAGACATACACAAAACAGAAAACATGCACATTTTGAAAAATTACTCCAAACATGTAAATCAAATCACTACCTTAATAAGTTGAGAAACGCACACATAGATATATCTATTTCTTACACTTAACTTATGAAATGGATAATAATCCTTGTAACTTCCCTAGATAGAATGGTAATTTGCACTCGTGTAACTACATGAACATAACTGGTAAAAATTAGATTGATTTGAAGCTTACTTGGATTTGACTTTTGGCAGGAGAAATAACATTTTGAAATTTCATCTTTCACCTTCTCAGTTATGTTCATAAGTCATGCATCCATTGAATTTTTTAATTAAGGTTTTGATCCCCTGCCCTGATTTTGGAGTGACCCTTGCTACAGTGGTGTGTGATAATGACTTCTGTTTGTTCTTGTTTGTGTCTCAAGTCTTTTCACAGAGAACTAGCATGGGCGAAGATCAGCCCATATCATTTACATTTTCTTACAGGGAATATGTAATGAAATTTCATGAAATGTTAAAATAATATGATACAGATTTTTGTGTGCTCTTGTACATATACTTTCCTAATCAATGTGCATGATATTTTTTGTAATTCATTGAGATTTTAATTTAAATATTTTGTTTGTTCTTTCTTTATTAACATTTACATGCACATTTTTTGAGGCTGAAGTTTGAGCTGGTTTTTGTGTTTGTCCTGGAATATTGTGATATTTGTTAAGTAATATAACAAAACATCTCGTCATTTAATAAATTATCTCTAAGAGTTAATTATATTATCTTATATACATTTTCACAATTTATTATCACTAATTTTGCCAAAAGTTGCAAAAATAAAAATCAGAAAAAAAAACAACATTAAAACAATTCTTTCAATTTCATTGGCTCAAATGAAAATTAAATTAGTACTAGCATTTCATGACATTGTTTACTGATAAAATAGTAATAAAATAATAATAATGATGAGGATGATGATAATAATAATTTTTGTAAAATGTAAAATTGTTCATGTGTATACAAAACATGTAATATTCAGAATTGTTACTTAAATCCATGGAGAAGGTGTAAGCATAGCATATGTTTTCTAATATCACACTGTTGACGCTTTCCATGATTATAGGGGAGATCAACCTCAAGGAGACCCTGAATTCATTAAGGTAAAAGAATAAAGTTAATTAGTAGTCATTGATTATTATTGTACAATTTTTTTGAATAAAAAAGTCATAATTGATAAAAATATTGGAAAATTTTCTCTAATTTGTAAAGTTCATGAAATATTCATGAAACCAAATATTTATAAATATAATAAACAATAATTTTTAATATGTGATGTTTTACAGCGTCAAGAACAAAAGAGCTCTGCCCTTGATGAGCAACTCAAGGAATACATTGCAGAATGGCGCAAGCAAAGGTCAAAGGAGGAAGACGAGCTGAAGAGGTTGAAGGAGAAACAGGCTAAGCGCAAGGTGAGATTGGAATGTAACAGTTACACAACCTAAAGAACGGTTTTCAAAGTGGCATCCACAGTCATGCAATAATCCACACAGCTCCCTCTTTCAGAGCTGCAAATGTTCTTCTTACTAGGGAATTGTTTAAAAAATATTTCACTTCTAATTCTTTAATGGTAACTTTGTTAAATATTATAATGTACTTATACTACTATGCAGTTTCTGCAGAGGGAGTTCACAAGTTATTCACACACACTTTTCTACTCATCACCGATTTCTTTTTAAATTTGTTTCAATTTTTTTCCCCCCATTTTACTGTGCTAATTATTTTAGGTAAATCACAGAACTCACCTGATTTCAAATTTTAGAAACCATAAAATAAAATAACCCAAAATATACAATTTTTATTCATTTGCCAGATACACAAATATTTTCCAGCTAAGAATTAAAATCTTCAAGGGTACCAAAAGAAAGTTGAAGAGGGTTTCTGTGGGGCTAACAAATATTAAAACTAAATAGCTACTCAGTATATTTTAATTTGACGTAAGCTTTTTACCTAAATTATTATACACAACTTAACATATATAAAGATTAAAATTATAAATTTCCTACCACTAATTTGCAGAAAAAATTATGGAAAACATCAGTGTACATAATTCATAAACAATCCAAAATACATATCAACCTCAATGACTTACTTGGGTTTGGTGGTAATACTTAAAGAATCAATAGATATCAATTTCAACAGATATGAAAGGCCTTAGAGTTTCTCCTTATTTTCTATATTGTTTGTAAACATATAATTTTTGTGTAATAGTAAAAGTCAAAATAACAAGTTGAAAGGACTTGCATCCAATAAATAAATAAATATAACTAACAGTAAACATGGAAATGTCCATTTGTTTTTATCATGTCTTTTTCTTATTTGCAAATGTTTTCAAGCCATGTTATTATGCAGGTCATGCGAGCAGATGAGGAGAAGCGCCTGGCCGAGCGCAAGAAGCAAGAGGAGGAGAGGAGGCAACGGGAAATTGAGGAAAAGAAACAACGGGACATTGAAGAGAAGAGACGCCGTCTGGAGGAGGCTGAGAGGAAACGTCAAGCCATGATGCAAGCCATGAAGGTAAAGGCTATTATTATGAAGGAGGAAAACAATCCATATATCAAGCTATCTAATTTCAAGAGACATTTTTGAGCAAAAAACTCATTGAAAATTAGTGTTGATTCCATTCGGTAAACATGTACCTGAAACATATACTTGTTTCTAAGCTGTTTTTATTACTAAAAAAACTCAAAAAGTAACAGCCAGGCTACAAAAGATGATTATATTTTGAAGAGCTTTGGCCCAGCACACAAAGCAATGAAATACTCATGTTGTTAAAAATGAAGTATAACATTCAGGCCGAATATGTCATGAACTGTGGGGAAAAGGACACGTTATTCACTGATAAATACAGTACTTTTAAATAATTGTGTAAGGGTTTGAATGCTGTATTGTTCTTGTCGAATTTTACAAGAGTGAAGACATTGATTTCATTCTATTCAGAATTGCTTCATTATGTATAGTTTTTATATTAAAATGTGTTCTTAAATATTTATCAGTATTACATTTGCATTCTTTTCAATTAACCTTAGAAAGAAAATTAGAAAACAAAACAACTTACACTACAATGTAGATGAGCAAAATTATGTCCAGAGTAAACCAATGTACTTGTAGAAATATACTTCTATTTTTACTTGTACAAATGTACTTTTTTATATTTCTATAATAATGACATAAAGCATACAGTGAATGAGAATAAACTTTCTTTACAAATGAATTAGTATCCATATTTACTAATATTAATTCTACAGTAATAACACTATCCTGAAAAGAATATTACAGAAGTTTAAAAATATATTATTTAATGTTTACAGGAGCAGAACAAGAAGGGTCCAAACTTCACCATCACCAAGAAGGATCAATCTGTAAGTTTAAACAAAACTTTCCATGAGAAGACAATGTTGAGAAAATACAGATTTTTACTTACTATATCTTTGGTCCCAGTTCAACTTGTCATCAGCTCAGATTGAGAGGAACAAGACCAAGGAACAACTGGAAGAAGAGAAGAAGATCTCCCTGAGCTTCCGCATCAAGCCCCTGGAAATTGAGGGCCTGAGTGTTGATAAGCTGCGTAACAAGGCTACTGAACTGTGGGAAGCCATTGTAAAACTGGAAACTGAGAAGTATGATCTGGAGGAGAGGCAGAAGAGACAAGATTACGATGTGAGTTAATACATTGCGATTACCCAGAGGAGTTCCATTTGCTCTACCTGTTTTAGCCATATCTTCTAATTTCTTTTTCATTCTTTCATAGCTGTCTTCTTCTTTTCATATTTTGTAGTTTCTGAAATACTGTCATGGTTAGGCAAGAGAACTTATCATTATTGTTTTATTCTACATTGATTTCTTTATTTGGAGATGAATTAAACAAAATAATTGAGATGAATTTCATTATTTGGAGATCAATTAAAAAGTCAAAGTTCTGTGTAGATAGAGTAGAAAGTAAGATAAAATATAACATATGATTTGTTTTGTCACAACTGTCATTTAACAAGAATATGAAAGAATATAATTTCCATTACAGCTGAAAGAGTTGAAGGAAAGACAAAAGCAGCAGCTGAGGCACAAAGCTTTGAAGAAGGGACTGGACCCCGAGTAAGTGCTGAATTTCCCAAATTCAGTATATGATCCCTTTATTGATTGACAATCATGCATTTAGTGATTTTAAATGCAATTATAATTTTTCAGTAGTTTTATTTGCAATTTTTTGAGAACTTATTTTGTTCTTATTATCGGACTATAATGTTTTCATTTAATATATTTAATACATTACTTATACATGCATATAAATATAAATTTGCACAACATATGTAATTAAAGCACACTTTATTTTGCTGCATTCATTTCTAGTGTGGACTTCTTTTGTTTAAAATAACATTCTTGTTACCATAACATTTTATGAATAAAAAGGAACAATAAATAAAGAAACATTGCAAATAAAACTATTGAAAAATTTGATTTCATTTAAAACCACTATTTTTACTAAACATCTGAATGACAAAAAATTAAAGGATTATATATTGAAATTTGATACCAATATGAACATCAAAATGATAAGAAACAAAATACTAAATTTGTTCAAACATATAAAAATAAATATTTCATTATTGACACTGTGAAAAAGTAATCAGCAAAAGTGAGGTGCATACGGATAAATTTTCATCAGCTCTCATTCAACACAAGAATTTTTATCATTCCATTGTACTCTTTAAAATTATTTACAAATTTAAAAGGACTAAAATGTTACAAAAAATGTACTATTATATTCACATAGGTAAAATAACTGTTTAAGAGTTTCTTGTGAACATCCATCTTGTATTTTTCAAATATCTGGTATGCAATGAAATTTAGCTGCAACAATCCTTCAGTAAAATGCTTAAGTGGATCAAAGATCGGATCATGGATCAAAGTTAATATGGACCAGTGATATTATATGAGAATGTGGAATAGCAAACATTACTTTGAAAATGAAGGCTTCTGCAGCTGGAGTCCATACACTCTTGCTGGCTGGGTGTCATCATGTTCTAGGTGGTATATGGGGGACACCAGGTCCTATTAGCCAATGCTTTGGCCATCAAACTGCAACTTGCTTCAGAGCAGAAAAAATAGGGAGTTGGTGTGTTACTGGCATTTCTTTTTTGCCCAGAGGAAGTTTGTAGCATGATGGCCAAAACATTGGCATCTGAGCTTATGACACAGTGTCTCCTGTACAGCCAAGAAACAAACATTAAATAACAATTCTTTTCAATAATTTCAAACTTTTGATATTTGGGATATATTTTGTCATGTAATATGTTAAAAACTTCTAATTACTTTTTCATTTGATTTCAGGGCTCTTACTGGCAAGTACCCTGTAAGTACATTTGTTCTATTGCATTTTAATTTTGAATGTTGATGTGGATTTCATATCTGACACTTACAATAATTTCATTCATTATAGCCCAAGATCCAAGTTGCCTCCAAATATGAACGGCGTGTGGACACAAGATCGTATGATGACAAGAAGAAGCTCTTTGAAGGAGTAAGTATTAATATGCATTAGTATCATCCTAAACAAAGTTATCTGAAAAATGCAATTTAAATTGTCATCATTATTGCTTTATCTTCATATTAGGAATTCATTTTGAGATTTTTGAACCTCATTTTGTATTTACAGTTCATATTACAGTTCTTACTTACCCTATTTTTTTATTTTTTACTGTTTCAAAATGTACAACATAATCTGGTTTACATCCAGGTATGAATTGAAAATTTCTTATTTTATACAGTTTTAACTTATTTTTTTCTATTTTATTTCTTACTGGCTTATTTTTACAAATAATATGTAATTTTTAAATATGTTTTCATCATTTTAGGTTTCTTGATACAAAATCCTCGGAATCAATGTGTTTTGATATTTGTAATGACTTGTATGATGCTGTTAGTAATTTCTTTATCACATATGAAGTGTCCCACCAAATTTATTCAAAATTACACCGAAATATATTTCAGAAATAAATTCATTGTTTTTAAATTTGAAGAATGCTCGTGCTCCAGTAATCAGTCTGAGGTCCTTCATCAATGAATGCTAGCTCAGAGGGCAAAATCATTAGTGTGTTCTTGGATGTAATATGTTTGCTGTCCTTCCTGCAGGGCTGGGCCACATTAAGTTCAGAGGTTAATGAGAAAGTATGGAAATCCAAGTATGAAGTGTTTACCAATCGAACAAAGTGTAAGTAAATTGAAGGTCTTGTTCCCTCCATTGAGAGCCTGTGCTTCGGCCCTTGGACTGCTGTGGAGGTTTCTCCCTGTGACCCCTTTGCCCTGCCCTACCCTTGCCCCTTTGAATGATAGCTAGCACCACCAGGCCAGAACCACAGAATGGTGCAGCTGTTGCACTGAATTCTCTCATGTTAAACCACATTTTGTGTTCCTATTTCAGTGCCTGTTTTGTCCCCTTATATTCCAACTTTAACAACATCTGGTAATGTTGTATTTCACTACACTTGGATTTATAACAAGTTGCTCGTATAAATGGATAGAATGATAAATGGACAAATACGTCTATTTGAGACTAGATTTTTAAATGGCGGAGGGGAAAGAGGGGATTGAGAGGAACAATACAAATCGTACACAAAACAGGGTATTATAACCATAGACATCTCAAATTTATTGTGATATTGTTTTTTAAAAGATGGCATAATAGATAAAGAGTATCAAACAGAGTTTATGGTTTCAAACTCAATTAATGTGAAGGATTTTTGGGATGAAAAAATATTTTGTATATCTTTCTTAAGAAGAGAAGTGAAGTTGGTTGACCCATGTCATGGACTGTGACATCTAAATGAACATCAAGTCTAAATATGCCTCTTGAGATTCTTGTGATGTGTCATTATTTTTATTATACCTACTCTCTAGGTATAGTAGGTGGAGATTTAGTCCTCTATTACTCAGTCACTAATAGTGCAAAAGGAAAGTAAACAAATTCATGACTAAAATAGAGATTATTATATCTTGAGCAGTAATTATCCTTAGCTGTAAGAGTACTACAGCAATGAGGAAGATAATCTTAGAAATAACAGTTTCAGTTCTGTTTTTTCTTACTCTTTTTTACAGCACCCATCATATTTCTTAATATAGTCATTTCAAACAATCGAACACCATACAAACTCAATTTATTCATTCACAGTGTTATCTCAGATGCTGTTAAATGTGGATGTTGTAGAACTAATTACACTAACTCCTGAAGGTGGTTTTCATTTACTAAATCATCCAACTACTTGGTTCCCTCCAGGGTTTAGAGGCACAAAACAAAGAAATTATCGAGAAGCAATGGACCGATAAATCAAGTGACTTCGATTCACGTCAAAAATGTAAGTTCAACACACACACATAGTTGAATATCTACCTTACTGCTTGCTTTATGATTATACTTTATTCTTGCCTTTCAATTTTTCTTTTTCATTAAAAAATGTATTGTCTTTTTTATCTACATAATGGCCTACATTAATGTAATTTTTTTTATATGCGTGAATGAAATCATAACAGTATCATAAAGTAAATCAATGTGTTTTATAAAATGTGTTGGAATATTTTAAAAATTTATTTGACGTATGGCCTTTGAATATATGTATTTCCCTACGCAAAAATAAATTACTCTTCCCAAAACATTCAAATTTGTATATATGCATCCACACACTTTCTCATGTACATGCCAATAATGTGTATGTTTAGTTTTCCATGATAATGGTAATTGCATGAATAATGGTAATTGTTGATTTCATGTTTTAACATGTTTTTGAATGCTTCCTGTAATGACCTTATTGACCGTTGGTAAATTTAGTTTAGAAAATAATGAAAAAAATAGTTATTCATTACTTCTCTAGTCCTGTTAACTTCATTACATTGAAAAGGCAATAATGAATTTATTGAATTCACAGTAAGGATATGTCTCAGTCAAAATTAAACCATAGAAATTTTCTTGAAAATGAAGAACTGAAATCCATCCGAACATTGCAATTGAACAATTACAAGTAAGTTGACCCTAGCAGCAATTCATTGAAAATATTAAGAGCAAGTCCAACTTAATCTTAAACTTATTGCTTTCTACCTTCTACTTTATAACTTTTTTCTTTAACTTTCTTGTCACTTTCATTCATAATATTCAGGGCCAGGAGCCCAGGCAACTAAATTTTAATGTGGCTAAGAGTATAAATGTGATAACGTAAGTTAAAAAACAATTATTTTCATAGTCATAAAATTATACTTGAATAATATTATGTATTTCTCTTTAGTATTTATACTTTTACTTTAATGATAGAATTAATTCATATTATTTTGGAATATATAAATACATTCTGATTTTCTACAGCTAGTTCTTTATTTATTAATGATTAATTAATGAAGAAATTACATTGACATAAATCATACTGTATACTGTGAGGTGCATACTGATGCTTTTGCCACAGAGTAAACAAAGTACAATAGAATTTATAATATTTAATATTATTTAGAGGAGAGAATTTTCGAGAAAGAATTAAAAAAAAAAAAATACAGAATAATTATTGAGATGAAAAGTGCTCTGAAAATATATGGACATCACATGAGAACAACAAAAGGGTTGGGCCCTGGTTGCTCTGCATGGTACATAACATTCAGAATAAACACTTTATTCTTTAATGCAAGGTGTATTTTGATTTTTCAAGGCTAATTATTTTATTGTTTATCATTTATTTTTGTTACAAAAGTGGATGTGGACACATTGGATGAAATTTGCTTCAGAAATAAATTACCAAATTGAAAGGAGAAGAAATGGGAATTTTTCTTTAACAAACTAAGGGGGAGGGAACTGAAATTGCTTTTCGAATCCACTCTTAAGCTGTGTACTGAATGCCTGCAGCCAAGCTGCCCAAGTGGTTCGGTGAGAGGCCCGGCAAGAAGAAGGGTGACCCCGAGAGCCCGGAGGAGGAGGAGGTGAAGGTCCCTGGTGCTGAAGATGATCTGGATGAACCCACCTTTGAACCTGAGCCTGAGCCAGAGCCTGAAGAGGAGGAAGTAGAAGAGGAAGAGGAGGAGGAAGAAGAGGAGGAGGAAGAGGAGGAAGAAGAGGAGGAAGAGGAATAAGCTGGTAAGAAAAAAATGGGTACATAATTGTAGGAGAACGATGCAGACTCATGCCAGAGATATCTCTTGTTCATTTTCTTTGTGCAATTTAGGGATAAATATTAATGTCCAGTAATGTATTACTTCAATCATTCTCAGACTTATAATGGGCCTCTTTTTAAGGTGAACATTTTCATAGACCTTTTCAAGAAGTAGACAGTTACAGTCCGAAATGTCTTGTGAATCTGTCCAAGGGTGTCCAAAAAATTGAACTGGTGCAAATTCTACTATGCAGTTTAACTATTTTGGAATGTCTTGACAGAACAGAATTTTATTTTAATTAAAGCAACTGATGCTTTACAAAACTTACAAAAATACTGAAGATTAAAGTTGAAATTTAATAATTTTTATAATCATTTGTTTCAGATGCACATCCCTTCATTTTTAATGATGGAAAAACATCAATGTGCTGGAGCATAAAGCAGTTTTCTGCAGTACAAACACAATGCTACCAGATATCTTGATAAACTGCCATTGACATCTGGCTCAGGATTGTCTTTATATTTTCAGTTTTTGTGACACTATATGTGAAGTTAAACCACCAAAATGTTGAACAGAATTTACATATATATAATTTTGAATTCAATAACTGGAAATAAATTGATTATTACAACAAAGATAATTTTTCTTCTTCTTAAGATATAAAACAATATAATATTGAATTATTGTTTCTGTTCCCTGTCTGTGATGTATAAATGTGGAAAATATATTATTTCATATTTGGAATATTAGCATAATCAAAATATGTGTATCATTTACACTTTGTACTATTAGTGTTACATTACTAAATAATACTAGAAATATGAACCATCCTTTATATTTTAAATTTGATTCATATAATATATTTGATTTAGGTATGTAGAAACTAAAGGAAATATATACCAAACATGAAAAAGTTTAATAAAATAATGTTCACGTTATCAGTTATCTTTATAGGGAACAAAAGCATTCCTTGAAAACCAATTACACAAAATTTGAAAATACTATTATAAATTGTTCTCTTATTAATAAAGAATAATTGATACTTGATATTATTAATTGAATTGTTATTACAGTAAGAAAATAGTTTGAGAAAAAGTTACATTCCATAAGGATGTTTGAATTGATATATGATTCTAATTTGAAAGATCTGTAAATATGACCTTTACAGACATGAAAAAATAGCTGCCATGTCTTAATCTAAAGTAATTTGAGTTTGTAAAACTTTAAATTGAGGTAGGATGCAAAGTACTGTGAAATATTTTCATTGAAATATATTTATCGTCACACTCGAACAATAAACAAATTGTTAAATTGAACACCAAGCCCTCTGGTTCTAGACTACCAGAATTATCTGGTTGTCAAAATATGATTTTCACTGTTTCACTCTAAGAAAATGTTTTTTTTTTCTATAACTTCTAGAAAACATTTTCTGAAATCTGCAGTTGTATAGTTTGCTGAAGCATATCTCATTAGACTGTTATTAGTTGAGTATTCTCTGGACATATGTTAAAACTAATATGTACTTTACAAACCAGTTTCTTAGTAGTTACATATAAAGTTACAGAAAAGAAACTAGTGAAGTACAAAATAGCATTGACTTTATCAAACTAATAGTTTGTTCCATTTATTTTGAGTTAGGTATCCTTTTTTGATTTTATCACTCTCCGTTCCCAGCTGCCATCTACAGATTCCTAACAGAACTTCTAGGGCCTTCTATAGTAACTACTGTTCTGGGATAATTCCCAGTGAAAAACTACTCAAAAATTATACTGATCCCTTAGGCCTTCAGCCATCTAAGGATGGCTGGCCCTGTATACAAAATTACTAAGGGCCGGATTTTGTTGACTAAACATCACAAAAAATTATCAATAAAATGCTCTTAAAATGTTTTTAAAATACCCTAAATGCAAAGATAAATGACATAAAAAGTTTGATAAAATCACTTCAGTTGAACAACTTAAGCTGTTGGATATGTTACTGATGTAATTAAGGCTTATTCCTTTCGCTCAAATGAACTCAGTTTGCAAACCTTTGGTTTGGACTGTTCTTTATCAGGAAATCTCTGTCTTTAATTATCCCAAAATTGGCCAAACTGACAATGGCACTGACAGGCGTCTCTGGATCCTTAGATTACATGCAACAACTATTACTATTTCTGAGCAAAGAAATTGAGTAGGCTACTCAGGAATTCTGTGTAAAACATTTTTTGTATCTAAAGTACATGAAGTACTTGAAGACAGTACAATCAAAATGATGTTAAAATGTATGAAACCTGTGAAAAATGCTTGAAAAAGGACAGGAAACGGTAAAATGTGACTTATTGATGAAAAATGCAACAAAAAAAAGTTGTAAAGAATTGCTCATATCCTTAAGTCATGACATAAAATGAATGTCTATACTAAAAGGCATTGTTCTAAAGTGAAAAGAAAAGGAAAAAAAGAAAATTTCAATAAAATCTGCCTCCTATTAATTACTTGCTGTGGGCCCATCTCTGTGCCTGTATCATTGTTCTAGGTGTAGGGAGTCAGTCCCTCATTTACCTAAATATTCAGATTGAGTAGATCTCCAGCCTATGCCTGGAAGCCAGGATGGCAGCTGTCTAAAATTAATATTTTTGCATGAACCATTGACATTGGCCCATGGTCCCTCTGAAAATTTTGAAAAGGGTTGCATTGCCTTGTATACTAAAACGTTTTATTTCCATCAATAATTCAAATAATTTTTGTTCATTTATAGCTTTGCTAATATTTATAAAAGTAGTACTTATTGGATATACTTTAAATTTTCCGTTATTGAAATTTTACCTTTGAATTGGCGGTACCTATAACTGTATCTGAACATTACTATTTGTGATTTACAAGTGGAGTCAATGTATTTAATTTCGGTTCTTTAAAAAAAACAAGAGGTCTTGTTACATTGAGTGTGTTCTGATGCCAAGCGAATGTTCGTGGGGGCCACTAGGCCACTGTGACATTTCGCGCAATTACAGTACGCCCGAAACAAAATAATAGGACATAGATCGCTTACATGCGCCTGGAGAAGGCGCGGTCGGTCTTAGTAGTACTTACGAAGAGAGAAAATATCTAAAAAGAATAGGAAATCAGAAATAAATATAATAAAAAAAGTAGAAGTGGCAACAGTTGGCAGAAGTTGGCGCGACAACAGTTTCAGATCGTCAGTAAATAAGATTACCGAAGACCCGTTTCATTTGGTGGAATGGCAGGAAAATGAGGTTTATTTATTTACCTAATACACTTTTGTTGCAGTATTAATATTACAATTAACAATAATTATCCCCAAAACTAATACGAGTTACTTTTATTGTAAATTGTTTGCATCTGATTTATACAAAACATCGCAAGTTTTTTCTTAATTGCATTTGACTTGTGATGAATCTATGGTTGCTTCTTTACGTTGCTCAAATTTCTTAATATGCAGGTAGGTAGATAGAAATGCACTTAACAAAGCTATAGGGTTGCAAGTTAACCAAAAATATCAAAAATATTTCTGTTTCATAACACAACATTTCAATAACAAATATTTAATGTTGAGTGGCATCTTCCTAGGAGCTGTGCCATTTCAACAATTCAATCGGTACAAGCCCTACGAGAATAAGTGGAATAACTATCAAATAATTGAATTTTTGAGTCTAAAATGAAACTGATTCACTGCTTTTGTATTTGTTCTGAGATTTTGGATATATGTCAAAACTACAGACACCTGTGGTTGAATTCAAAGCACAAAATCGACGAAGGTTCATGATAATATATTTTAACGGTCACATGCGTCATTAACCCCTATGTAAGTATGTATGTTGGTAAGTAATTAAAAATGTTAGGGATTGTTCAGAACTTACATATTACTAAAGAAGGGAGAGGAGGTTTGAGGTAGCATTATGCTGCGTTGCATAGGGGTAGAAGGTATTAGTTTATTTCTCCCCCCCCCACAACATTTACTGAAATAATTTCTTCTCTCGAGTCTTATACTTCTTTTATTAACACTAAAACCATTTAAGGATCTTGACTTTCAGAACTAAATCATTCCATTTATCCATGAATGATATTATATCCTTTCTGTGTATTTCATTATCAATTTCTTGGTTGGTTCTTATTCTCTATATTCCAGGAGTCACTTGGATTGGGCCGTATATTCTACACAATATTTGCCTTTCAAATATTCTAATTTGATATCTGTTTCATTGACGATGCAGGCTTCTGGGGCATTAGTAAAAATTGGACGGATTAGGATCTTAAAAATTCTCAACAATATTTCGTGTTATTTGCTTTGCTCTTAACAAATGTATTAGTATATTATGCCTTATGCCCTTTTCTAATCCTTTTATTAATTTCAGCCTGAATTTCATTTTTCACAATTAATAAAGTGCCAAGGTAATCGTTTTACTCACTACGGAGTAGAGAGAAAGTTATGTAACACTGCACGAAAAAACGAATTTTCGGCAGAAAAACTTATTAAAGGATCGAGGAAACTAGTGGTGCTACAGAATGGCTCAGACTTTCCCGTACTAGTATATATACTCTCTGGTACTAGTTTTCTAATAGCTTTGGTCTGGGCTAGCTCTTCGGTGTTTCCCCTTTCCTCTTGCCAACTGCCATCTATCACTACCCAAAGTATATTTTTTTGGAAATTTTCTCAGTTTTTCGGTTGAAGAAAAATTGGAGTGACGCAGGCTCCTGTTGCCCAGCCCCTGCGTGCCAACACGCAGATACGAGCAAAGCATCTCCCTTCAAAGCCGAAACACGCCCTCTCTCATGAGGCCGTCTGGGACCTCTACCCTCATACCTGTACAGCGAATAGAAACTGAAGCAGGAAACAGCGTTAATAGGGCGCCTGCCACACCTGCAGATACATACCAACAGCGGCTAGAGGGTTACACCCACGGGCTGTTAGAGACGAGTGGTCATTGATGGAAAACTCGTTCAGCAATCTTATATCAAGGACAGGTGGTGGATACAGTCTTCGGTAATTTGCCCCATATGTGACCTAGTAATCAAAAGCGCCGTACACCTGCAATCCCGAAAGACGCATTCCATATTTCACATGCGTGCAAATCATGGCGAAAGGAGAGTCCGCTTCTTCTGTATTGGTTGTATGTCATTCATGCAAGATGGATAAAAATGGGACGGCCACCGCCTACAACGTGGCGAGGCTGCACGAACTCAAGCCCCACCACAGCCTGCTTATGCACTCCCCGCACAAAGCGGGGCATATTTCCCAAATGTCAAACGAGTTGGCCTCCATAGGCCCCTCCACATGCAGCGTCTCCTCGCGACCACAGACCTCTTACTTCCGCTCCCAGACGACGCCTCTGCAGAGCCAGCTACTTGACCCCTTATCACAATAAACGATTCGGTCGCCACGCAAGAGGTCACGACTGCGAAGGAGAAAACACCCCGCCTCAGAGCAAGAAGAACGAACGCAAGGAAGACACCCCATCCCCCGACCAAATGCATCCCTCCAAGGCGGCAACAAACCGCCCAGCTAGTAATGCTAGTCAATGCAACAAGAAACATAAAACGAAGAACCGAATACGACATGACCGAAGGCATCGCGCCGAGAGGGCTGCGGCATTAGAAAGTGAAGAAGAAGAAGAAGAAGAAGAAGAAGAAGAAGAAGAAGAAGAAGACGACGACGACGGCTGGGAGCAACAACGTGCGCTTGCATCTATAAGAGAAGACGCGCCAATACCGATCTGCCGCGGGGAGCACGCCCCGCCCAGACCCCACGCAGGTGGCAACCAGCCTAGCAACCTACCGCGCGAGGCCGGCAGCAACTCCTCACCCGGAATGAGGTTCAGCATTGGTTCATCTGTTATTGTTATTATTATTAATATTATGAAGAGACTACAATATAAACCAAAACTCAAAACCAAGATGTTCTTAAAACCTCTTAATAAATGTAACTTCATTATTTGTGCACATCTTCTAAAGTTCAATGGGAAATATTGATATTCAAATTATCACTCCATGTTGTAGTGACAGTATTTTCCTTCACGAAGGACAAGAACCCAAATCAATAGCTGATTTACCATTGAAAATAGATTTTATTACATCAGAGCAAATATTTGTTTTCAATTCTTGCCATAAAACATATTCAGAATTCAACTTGATAACATTCCCCCAAGGCCCCACTGCATCAGAAAGTTAAGGAGAGGATACATTGCACATGAAAAGAAAAGGATTCAAATGCATGGAATTAACTTGCTTGGGAAATAATATTTAAGGTGTCTTAAATATTTTAGCGGGTCCATTTGCCACCAATATTCAGCCATGAAAAAACAAATCAGCAAAGGACATTCAAAAGGAAACAATATTTTTTAAGATTTTAATTAACAGTCTGAAATTCCAGTGCAAATTTATGTTATAAACACAACTAAAATATCTATACTTATTTACTCTTTTAATATAAATGAAAATAAACAATTGTTCTAATACAACCTTCATGGATGATTGTTTTAAACATACACATCTGTAAAATGGACAAAAAAACAAATAAACAAACATAAAAATTGATAAATGCAATTTTGTTCTCAACCAATCAGATTGACGTTTTACCCAAGCTTAGCAAAAATTAGTGAAGATTGTTCTGCTTCACTGCTGATTAATGCACAATAAACATTTAAAATTGCGATCAAAAGAAACTGCATTGTTGGTAGAACCAGATTTTCCAGATTCCCTTACAGCCTTAATATGTTCTAATTTGAAGGTAAGAATAAGCAAGTAAACTGGCGGTAGAACAACAGCACATACTTTCTTGCATAATTTGAAAACCCTAATAAACAGCATACTACTACTTGAACTTAAATTTGAGTTATTTTTGAAAAATTAAAACATTAAATAAAAACCATGTTTATGTCATGTTATTCACAGCATTTAGCTCTACTCGCAAAGTTTAAAGAAAAGTTTGGAGCCATTAATAAGAAAATGTTAACTACCCTCAAGATCAAACTATTAATTTCAAATTCAGAGGGCCTTGAGTTCAGCCCAATCCATCAGGGAACACTAATTTTGGAGAAAATTGTCTCATCAGTTAAGCTCTATCGTTGACAGAATGTTGCTGTACCATAAACCAATTCTTCAAGACCCACAAAACATGAATTCAGGTTTGAAACATGTTAGAGGAAGTAATTTACTACATATAGGAACAAGAATTATTAATTTTTTTTGCTATCAGGAATGTGCCTTATGACTTTTTCTGCTGATTTTTACTGCAGCATTACATAACTTCTCTATATTGTGTAGGCACTAGTTACAAGAGAGTCTAAAGAAAACAAAGAAAAAACAACAAAAAACATTTTTTATACAAATCGTTACTAAATTTCTAGACTATTGCTTTGGAGTTATTGATAACAACCTTGAAGAATACAGAATTTTCTGAGAACTCTTTTGATTTTTTATGAAGCATGATTGTTTTTAACAGCACCAATAAATAATAGTAAAAGAGAATCAGTATTTTCAGGAAATGAAATTATTGCAATATAATTTCTTGTTTAAAAAAAAACAAAACAATTTAATACAATCTTGTACATTTTCAGGCAAATAATACTGTAAATCAATTCAATGAAAATCATTAATTCTGTCATCTTGATGAATAATTTTACACTACTTTCTCAATATTTGTTGTCAAATATTAAACCTAAAAAAACAAAAAAGATATTGAAAAGGTTAGTTATAGATATTCATAAAGAATATATAAATACAGTCAAACCTGTCGAAAACAGATTCTGGTAATACTGGAAAACTGCTTTCAATGGAAAAATATGTTGATCCTTGCTACATAAAATGCACACAATTTTACCTGCTGTTAATGGAACCTACTTAATGCAGCAATGGACAGCCTTTTTCAGTTTATTTTGAGCTGGCAACCGAGGGGTTTTGCGAAAAGGGAAGAAGTCAGATGAAGAAATGACCTTTATAACTGCTTGGGGCACACAGCGCAATGCGCTAGAGATCGATAAATTCCCAGAGGTGAAGCAGATTTAGACAACGCATGTGCTGACTTTTCTCTCCTAGCCCGAGCAGCTTGTGTGAAAAGTCAGTTTCTTCTGAATATTCAAAGCAGTTGAACTGTCTATACTTAAGTATATACTGTGTCTTTGGTATAGTGCTCTGTGAACGATGAGTTCAGGGAAGAGCAAACTCTTGACAATACACGAATGTGTTGAAGCATTAGAGTGCAAAGGAAGAATGATTGCAATTTTTGAAATATTTGGAATAACACAATCATAATTTTTCAAAAGAAAGAATCTATTATCAACAAATGGTTGCAAGGAAACTCTTCACTCTTCAAACGAAGGGAAACAATAAATAAAAACAAAAGAGTTAACAAACTCACACAGGAATGGTTTGTTGTAACACAGGCAAAGAACGTGCTGATTTCAGGGCCCATTTTACGTGCCAAGGCTATTGAAATTGCTCGTAGGTTAAGCAAGATTGATTTTAAGGCTTCAAACAGAAAGTTGGAATCATTCAAGAAGAGATATAAGTATCTAGCATGACTATGTGGAAAGGCAAACAATAGCAATCACAATGCAGCAGGTGAGAGGCTGAAAAGAATGTGACAAAATCAGAAAATTCCATCAAAACATTGTGATGCACTTCTGCAAATAAAGAACTTAAAGGAGGTTTTTCTTCACAGAATAACAATGAAATATTAAATACAATGCCCATAGTTAGTGTTGAAAAATAAGCATTATTAAAGAAAAAGGCAAAACAATAACTTTTGTTAGATTATTTTCATTATGTTTTTTTAAGGATATGTATGTAAACTATTTCAAAAAATTATGCATGTTGTACATACTACAAAAGCAATATTCTTAAAACAATTATTTTGTGGCAAAGTGCATTTTATTCGGCTTAGTAAATTTTGAAAGCCTGGTAATAACGAAAAACTGTCTCTAAGGTTTGGTCATTACCATGCTCTTCTGTTATAGGCAGGTTTGTCTGTATAAAAGAAATAATAAAATTCAAAATAAGTTTAAACAGTTAAAAGATACTTGCCAAATTAGAACTTTGTCTCTAGACTTAAGTGCATCTGACAATTATATATAAATACACCATAAATTGTAAAAAATGAAATATGTGGATGGTATGTAGGGAAAAGGAAATGATCACATTTTGTCTAGTATTTCTTTCAATTTCCTGAAACAAATGTAGGTATAATAAATCAAAATGGAAACAAGGTTATTGATGACACATATAAAATTTAATTATTCTATGAAATGTTAGATTTTTATTGCATGTGTAAGGGACAGATTATCTGCCTGATATCAAGAACATTAGCATCACTCAATTTCATTTTTACCAAAACTGAAATATTAGATTGTCACTTCTTAATTGCCCTGAAATTTGAATTTAATTAAAATGTTGACACCATTGTTTTCTTTTTTTATACACTCAGAGCAAGACAGAAAAACTTTAATAAACATATAAAGGATGTAGGTGAACTAAGGTGTTAGAATGCTCTCTGGCTCCAAAACTATAATTTAATCTATACAAGGTTCAGGTCATAAAGTCTGTAAGGAAGACACTCAACTCTGGTGATGGGGATACATATGAAAAGCCTTAGCAGCTCACTGGGCTCTAGCTTCAGTGACATCATGTGGTCAATAAGAGAATTTCATTCACCAAAATGGCCGGCAAGCCCCTGTGTCCAGACAACGCTATTTACACTTACTGAAACACACTGAAGTGTAGATGGTGTTTGGTCAAATACACGTATGCATGCCAATATTGGCCTAAAAAAAAGGTGAGGTAAGTTCCTTCATTCATTGCAAAATCACTGAAGCTACGCGAGTCCAATTAGCTGCTGACATTTTTTGACATACCCCTACCATCTTACACTGGAGTTTAGACTCCTTATTACAGACTTCATGGTTTTTGTAGGCAAAACTGATTAATAACAGGTTTTCAAATTATTCTTCCATTGTTCCAGTCTCTCGTTCGACTAGCTCCATTGTCACATTTTCCTGGTTTATTCACAACCACCCCTAGTGTAAGCTGAAGGAACAAGAAAAGTAGACAAAACCTCCAAAGGTGAATACCACGCTTAAGAATTTGATTCTTTACCTACCAAACAACTTCTACAGGTAATTCCAAAAATATTGAGTTTTATTACACAGAATGAGTTTTCAAACTATAAACGGGTCGCTGGTTTTGATGACTATTTGTTTCTTAGAGAAATCTGAGAGATAAGGAGATACTGTAATTTCTGTACCATTAAGAATACTAAATAACAAATGCATTTTTTCAGTGATTTGGACAACTTATTAGATACTAAGCTGTCAAAAATATTATTCTGTGAATTAAATACATTAATATCTAGTGACTTTTCACACTGATTTCTCAGGAGTAAATCAAATCATTTTTTACAATTAATTTGTATCCAGCACTGGATATTACTTTGAGTAGAATGCAGTTTCATTAAGATTATCTAATAATATTTCTTACAAAACTTAACAATCTTTGGCAGTGATTTTTGAGATATTATTTGAAATGAGTAGAATGAACAAAAATGGTATGATGGAAATAGTTCATTTAAAAGGTTTAATATAAAATTCCTTTTTATTCATTATATCTATTTTAACAAATCGTACACTCTATAGAAATATGTTTTTTATTATATGAACATTTTATTTTGAAATTTGATTTTTTAGAAGTGAAACTGTCAGACCTTTCTACATTAACTTTTCTTTCTGTAGAGTCTAAAATCATACCATTAAGTGACAGTAATGTTTTCTTTCATTTTAATTATTGCACACCAGCACATGGGAATAAGTTACATTTTACAAACTGTGGAGTTCCTTTTGGAATCATCTTAACCATTAAGCCAACCAAACCTGAATTTAGGGGTTTTAATTTTTTTAGGTCCATTAGAAAAATTAATTAAAAAAACAAACAAACATTGTCATTAATTGTCAATTTTACACTATTTTTGACTATTCAGTAAAATCACAAAATTACTGCCGAGATGGAAGGAGTCTACTTTTTTAACTAATATAAAGCTCTCTTCTAGAGGCATTTACAATTTCCAAACTCAAAAGGATTACTAATAACAGAATTCATACACCATGAAACAGTAATTTTCTGGAAACTAATCTCATTGTGCAGATAAAAGAATTTAAAAATTGTCATAAATTCAGGGACCCATTTTTCATGTGGACTTGAGTCCAAATAATCTTAATAAATGGGGATTATTACGATTTCTTGTTCAGATAATGAACAATTCATGCTTGTTTGTTAGTCTGTCAATGTCAAACAGTCAACTATATCAAAGAAGATGAGTATTTTTTTCACACATTGGTTCCTTAGAAGTGGAACTAAATCAAATAAACGAAATTTTAATTTGAAGTATTTTCACAGTTCATATTTATAATAATAAGTTCTACCTCCATAACAAAATACTGCTCTCTGAATTAAAATCTCAACAGTTTTATAACAAAGAATTAATGTGCACTCTCATGAACACACTTCCATAATGTACACAAAATATTCATATTTTTAAGCCTCTAACTTTAGTCTTAAATCCTTTGATCCACCAACAACCATCATAGATGGATCCTCCAACATTGACTGAACTGCTTTCATAAATTCGGCTGCTACTCCTTCATCAAATGCTCGTCTATCATATGATAACGTTGCACGCATGATGCTTGTCTTTTTTAGTGCCTCATCTAAAACAATATTAAAAAAAAAACCAATTAATTTTATGTGAATGTGTATGTATGAATGAATGATATGTATATGTATGAATGTATGCATTAATTTATTTAATGTGAACTTCATTATTTACTAGGCAGTCTGGGTGACGCCGCATCCATGGTGAAGGTGCCGACGTTTCGGTCGCCATTCTGCGACCTTCCTCAGGGCGTAATGCCTTTGGTGTAAGGTGGCTAACGTAGGCATTACGCCCTGAGGAAGGTCGCAGAATGGCGACCGAAACATCGGCACCTTCGCCATGGACGCGGCGTCACCTGGACAGCGTAGTAAATAAAGACTCTGGCCGCGGAAGCCTATGCTCTCACGTGAACTTCATTACTTACTTAATGACTCTTGACCACTTCCAACAGCCAGAATTGCACACTGAGGTGGATTGATGATAGCAGAAAACTCTTTAATTCCAAACATTCCAAGGTTTGAAATTCTGAAAGAAAATGTATAATTTTGTGAGGTTTGACAAAGAGTAAATTTCTGATGAGGGAAAAAATTCTAACAATAGGGAAAATGTTTGATGGACTCAAATGAGCCAGACAAGAGGAACGAATTCTTTAAAAATTTAACAAAAGAGAAAACTAAATGTTTTCACTGTTGCAAACTCAAAATACCACAGATGGTTGACTTCATAATTTCAATGTATAAGAAAACAAAAACTATAGGTGCTACAATAGTGCATACCTTCTCAAATTATTGGGAATGGTTAAGTAATATTATAATGTAATTTCTGCCCTCACCTCAGATATTTCTTAAAAAAATTCCAAACAAATTCAAACAAAGCATCTGTGGAGCATTTCTGTAATTATTTCACGTTAGGTACAGAAGCCCTATCTTACTATTACAAAAGAAACAAGCATGAATCAATCTCAACTATTATATTTGCAGCACAATTTACAGGCAATCAAGAATAATTTCTCATATAAATTGGACGCATCCAAAACTAAAGAATATCCAATGAATATCTGCATACATATTCTTCCTGACTTTAATATAGCTGAATGAACCATTTTATTGAACACAGAAATATTGTAACATTAACATTAAGTAAATAAAGCCTCCTTATCTAATCCCTCTCCCATCTATGTCGCTGTCTAACAATGGTATTCTCAGAGTAACGTCTCAAACTGCCACATCGCTGCATTATATGACAACAACAAGTGGAAGATCATACTGTATTAAGTAATTTCTCATGCATAACCAACTCTATTACTAATTAATTAACTAAATAATAAAATGATTGTTCTCAATTTTTCTTTTACATTACATTTAAATTGTATTTTTAAAAGAGAATAACATAATTGTGCTGATTTCAATTAAGGTTTGTGGATTAGTTGCAAGAAAATACATAATTACATTGAGAATACAAATTGTAGAATAAAGTAAAAATCTAATTAATATTGAGATTTTCAATAGCAATTTGTAATCGTAACCAAGAGTATGCTAATTTGGTTTGGTCCCCTTATTATCAAAAAGATAGCAAAGTTGTTACCTCTTATTAATTTGGATTTTAATCACTACCAAGAAATTTTATATTAGTCATGTAGTATATGTCAATTAGCAACAGTAGTTTCTTTTCAAACTTTTTTAGACGTATGTTATATTGTTTTCATATTCACTAGCAGATTTCATTGCTGGTTCCTCATTAAGCTACTACAGTTTATCAACCATTATATAACTCTAATACTACAGATACTTATATAACGAAAGCAATTTTTGTATAAAATGGTAACACTTGTGAATGAAGACTCAGAAAATGCTAGAATAGATATTGACTTTCCTTTTTTAACTCAATATCCATAATGTGTATGACAGCATCAGAGTATTTTTACCCCATAATTCTGTAATGCTTTTGTAACAATTTGTTTGGATGTTTTCAAGCGATGACTGATGTGTTAGTAGGGAAGAAATTGCAATATTATAATATTATATAACCATTCCCAATAATGCAAGAAAGTATGAGCAGTTGTATCACCTCTAGATTTTCATTTTTGAATGAACAGACTTCCCAATAATAGTTCTTGATCCCTATAATAGCATAGTAACATAATCTACAAGTTCATCAAAAGCATACTTCTTTCTATTTCTGTACTCTTAACATCTGTTACACATTAATTTAATAGTATTTGAATTAATTGTTCAAAAAGGGCATCAGATAGGGATATTTTACTGATGACCTTTACATAACCACTGACTCAATTATCAATGTAATATTAATAAGCACATTAAGAAATAGTATCAAGGAAACTACTTCATGTAAAGGTATATTGAATTAAAACCCCCTGAAACACCATCAATTACTATTTGTGTATTTATTATAAGACCAAACCTATTATTAAAAACTAAAATAGTATATAATTTTTTCAGCAAATGTTTCTTTCAAAATTTTATAATTATGACACAAAAAACCACAATCAAAAAACTCACGTAAAAGTGCCTCCTTGAAATTCTTGAGGTTTAAGTTTGCCTTGCCTAGCTCTTATTGCAAGATCTCTCACAGTAGAGGATATTTCAACCAATCCTTTTGAAGGAACATCAAATACAATAGGAGTAATCAGTCCAGCATCAGTTGCAACAGCAATTGAGATATCAATGTTACGCATAAGCACAGGCTGTAAATAAACATGAGGTTTCCATTATTGTTCCCCTTCACTCATCTTCTTGGAAAATTTTAATTCTTTTTATTTGAACAGAATAAATTTCATCTTCCAATGTTACATCATTTCCAACACAGAATAATTTGTTATAACAGCAGTTCCTAAGAAAGGAAATTTTGAGTTTTGAATTTTTTAAACCATTTGTTAGAAGTTTGTAAAGTTGGCTATACAATGACTATTGTCTAAATAATATTTCTGTCTACTTGACAGCTTGTGACTGGCAGGGGAGAGGGGGCTTTGCTATCCAATCACAGCCTTTATTAAGAAAAACATGAAAACTTATTGCCCATAGCAAATGAAAATTGAAGAGTGCCATTTAACATCAATACTTGTTTGGTTACATGTTCAGTACTTGGTTCAATGTTATCTACTCATATGCACTCTCATTGGGATTTATTTCTTGTTATTGCTACTGCTGTTGTGACCTTATGCAAGAATGGCCCTTTTACCATGCTACTGATGGCCAAGTAAATGGCAATATCGCGCCATCCCACCCTCAACGTCAACTACATAGAAATATCATTTGGACAATAGAAGTTTAATACTGCATCTTTGTTTACACATAGATATCAACATTGATAATTTTAATGGCATGCTTTAGAGCAAGTCCATTAATACATTTGTTAATTGAAAATTTGAATGCAATGAGTCTTTTTTTAATACTTTATGGAAACAGGAAAAGACGGTTAGGAGATACAATACGAAATTATTAATTGCCAATGCACAGAGAAATTGAAAAAAAACAATGCAGTTTCCGACCATGTGAGAAGTGTTAATGACGATGTTAAGATACCCAAGAACTCAAGTAAAATTCCCAAGCAATGAAACAGTTTTGATTTTGACAGAAAAATACCAATATTTGATTGTGTTATTTTGCATATTCTCATACTGCAGATACCAACTGAATTCTCACTGACAGGTTGCCACTGCTTACAACACAGCTGATGTCATGGGACCGCAAAACTCCAAAGTGGTCATGAACCACTAAATATTTGCTATTCACATGTTGTGATACGGAACAGCAACTTTTTCAGACTCTTGGCATGTAATGTATATAGATGGGTCCACGAAGCTAACTTGTATTTGAGCAGTACGAATGCTACTTTTTAGAAAACTATTTTAAGTGGTTTGGTTCAACAGCATTTTTGATGCTACAGGCCTCTAGTAGGAAACTATTTTGGCATTAATGATATTGATTAGTTTTTGTTTGTACTTGGGGTGTCGGCCTTTGTATGGATCCATGGCCTACCAGCGACGTCCTGGCATTGCAGACATGGGTTAACGGGGTACATGTGGTTTGCACGAAGACATTCCCACACAGTAATCTGGTTTTCTCAACCTAAGAAGTGAATTTTCTCATTGTCACATAGCAATACATACTGTGATATTGAAAGGAAAATGCACACTATAGTCTTGCCTGACTGGGAATCGAACCCTGGGTCATGTCATGGAAAACATGCACACTGACCAATGAGCTAAGCCATCAGACTATTGATTAGCAATGTGTGAAAAATTTGAAAACTCAGTTTTCAGATCTTGTTTGTGCCATTTAAAATTCTGATCCCTTTGTTACTAAATTGCTGCAAATAAAATAATTTATTTAAAAAACAATTTTAATCATCAAAAAAACAATTTTTTTATGAACAATAAAATACATTACAACCTGCTCAATGCAGAATTTCTTGGGACCAGTATTCTTTTTTCCAGGTTAGACAGGATTCCACATTATACAAATAAAGCAAAACATTTGCTAGGTCATATTTCTGTTCACATTAAACAGATTTCCACGTTATATACATTCGGCATTAAGCAAGTATTACTGTTCTATGATTACTAAAAATTTATGATGGGGAATGTATGATGGATGACATTTTTAATGTATGGATATTCTGAACAGTCCCTGGCTTCTTTCACAGGGAGACTAAGAGTTGACAAACTGAGTTTTAGATAGAACTTAGTGTAAAATGGTTGGGTACAAATAAGAAATATCATGCCAAAATACAAAAACCCAACATCTACCATTTATAAGACATGCTTTTATAAAAATCTATGAAAAAATTATCTCTACCTGTCCTTGAGTAAAGAGAGCATTAACTTCAGGAAATTGCTGTAGTGCACTGGAAGCAGCCTTCACTATAAAATCATTAACAGAAACTCCAATGCCTTCTTCCTTTAATTTTTTTCTGTATTGCATGATTTTGCTGATGTCACTAGCAATTGTAGAATAAGAATGAGGTATGTTTGTCTGCAAAGTAATCACATATATTAATTTGAAGTCTACTTTTCTCCTGATAGTAGGAAATTCC